CAACCCCTGCCAGCCAACTGGCTCGGAATGGCCAGCCCAGGCAGGCCATTGGTGGAGTCCGATTGCCCGTGCACCTCCTACCCCGGCTCTCTCTCTCCTCTTTCTTCCTACCTTCCCCCTCCTCGAGCCCTCATCCCACCCCAGCACGACTTGGCAGGGGCAAGCGCGGCGACACCGAATCTGCATCGGCAGCGCGTCTTGAGCTGAGCTCGACGGGCGGTCGCTGGCCCATCTGGCTCGCCTTGGATCTCCCCGATCTATGCGGTGCTGCCCGCTGCCGTGCGGTCTGTGTGGGCGCGGTGCCCACCGCCGTGCCGAGGCGGTGCTGCTGCTGCTGGCACGGGGGGAGGGGGAGGAGGAGGAGGAGGAGGAGGAGGAGGAGGAGGAGGAGGAGGAGGAGGAGGAGGAGGAGGAGGAGGAGGAGGAGGAGGGGGAAGGGGGAAGGGGGAGGACCATCAGGAGTTTGGGTCAGGGACAGGAGCCTGCGTCCGCCACAACAGTGCATGTGTTCGCCATCTCCGGCATCCGGAGAGGTCCCCTGAGGGGCAGACGTGCACCTAGCTAGCAAGCGGGCCGTCTTAGACACTTTCGGCCGCCAATTTTGCCCAGGTTGTGCTGAGGGCGCGAGATGAGGGGCAGGAGCGAGATGAATTCCCTTTACCGCTCCTTTAATCGTCATGCCTTCTCCTTCCCCTCCTCGCCCTTGTCCTCCTTCAGTCCTCCCTCCGCCTCCTCTGCCCTTCTGTGCATCAGTTGTCAAGCAGTCTGTATGCCCTTTCTGTGCATTAGTTGTCCAGTAGGTGGCCAGGCCAATTCTTGCGGTGTGCATGTGTGGGCGCGGTGTCTCCCGCCGCAGGGGCGACCCCCCTCCGGTACTGCAGGAGACTGGGGAGGAGGATCACGCAGTGCGAGGCTGGGGGAGCTGGAAGGTAGGGGTGCGCGACCACCGTCGCGCCCGCGTCCTGGCGAGGACGAGCCTGCAAGCCATCCAAGATCGCCACAAGCTTCGTGATTCGATTTCATTTATTTTAGATGACAAAGAGAGCATCATTTTTTCTTCGGACCTCGGAAGCTGGGCGAGGGCTGCTAAAACCGTGGCTGCTAAAACGGCCCGCCCGGAAGGAAAAAAGAACCTCCCGGAATGGGGCGCGGCACGCGACTGCAGTCAACGGGTCTTTGTCCAGGAAGGACGAAGACCACTTCCCAGAGGCCGAGCTTAGCAGCCACGGATTTGGCAGCCCTCGCCCGGCTTCCGACGACCTCTGCCAAGTGGTCTGCGCCTGCGGAGGGCGGCCCTGGGCGCATTCTCGCGGGGCGGGTGTGTGGGCGTGCTGTCATCCACCGTCTCCGCCAGATGCACGAGCCCGCCGTCCTCTCGCAGGAGGCCGGGACGTCGAGGGAGCTGCGCAGCGCCAGGGCTGGAAGCCGTGGCCAGCGCGGCCGCCCCGAGGCTGCCACAGCGCAGCAATGCCTGCGCAGCAGCTCTGTCCTGCCTCTGTCGAGCGGCCTGCGTGGGTTCGATGCCCATCGCCGCTCCGAGGCGAGGCCAGGCGGCTGCCCTGGCGCCTCGAAAGAAAGGGCCAGAGCAGGCGGCCTGGAAACAAGGGGGGCGGGGGGGGGTGGGGCCAGAGGGCGGCCTTGAGCTTAAGTCGGGCCTGTCCCCCTACAGCGGGATGTTCGACGAAAAATGCAAAATACCCCAAAACATTGTCAAAAAAAAGTCCAAAAATAGTCTGGGGACTGTTTCGGGGGTATGTTGTTTACCTCTTTGGGGCATTCTTTGCGTACTTTTCAATTTTCGTCGAACATCCCCCCTGGAGGGGGACGCGCCCGGCATAACCTCGAGCCTACCCGTGCGGTCCCGCTGTGTGGGCGTGGTGGCCGCCGGCGCTCCCGGGGCTGGCGCGCACCCTGCGGGCGCTCCCCGCGGGGGGGGCCGCAGCGGGAGGCCGGGAGCAAGCTCGTCGCTCGGGCCGGGCGGGGGCGCCCGGCGGAGGATCTGAACAAGAGCCTTTTGTTTGGGCTCCGGGCAAGTTTACTTGCATGGACGGGGGGGGGGGGCTGAGTCTGAAGCAGGCCGAAAACAAGTCGACGGGCGGAAATCACGCAAGTCGAAGGACACTTGCACGCTCGTGTTCGATTGAAGAGGAGCGAGGGGGGGCGGGGGGGGGGGAACGCCATGCAAGTAAGCTTGCCTGGATATAAAGAAAAACAGGCTCCAAGGACTTGGCATCGCTCGGACGTGTGCATTTTTCGGGGGTGGACAGAGCCCCCAACAGTGACACGTCGATTAGTGAATTGTCCGTTTTCGGTTCTCGAGAGGGCGCCGTGGCCGTTATTTTCCAGGCTTGCGCCCGCCAGGTTTGGGCCCGAAGTCGTTTCCACTAAACCACGTTTTACTAAAGGGAGGTCTGTCCATCCCCGAATTTATTCCTGCGAGGACAGTCGAGGAGCATCCTGGATCATTTGGCGGAAAAAACCACGCAAGAAACCGAAAAAA